TTTGAGACTGTGGTCCCAACTCTCTTCAGGTCATTGACCAGGTCCTGCCGTGTAGTTCTGGGCTGATCCCTCACCTTCCTCATGATCATTGATGCCCCACGAGGTGAGATCTTGCATGGAGCCCCAGACTGAGGGTGATTGACCGTCATCTTGAACTTCTTCCATTTTCTAATAATTGCGCCAACAGTTGTTGCCTTCTCACCAAGCTGCTTGCCTATTGTCCTGTAGCCCATCCCAGCCTTGTGCAGGTATACAATTTTAACCCTGATGTCCTTACACAGCTCTCTGGTCTTGGCCATTGTGGAGAGGTTGGAGTCTGTTTGATTGAGTGTGTGGACAGGTCTTTTATACAGGTAACGAGTTCAAACAGGTGCAGTTAATACAGGTAATGAGTGGAGAACAGGAGGACTTCTTAAAGAAAAACTAACAGGTCTGTGAGAGCCGGAATTCTTACTGGTTGGTAGGTGATCAAATACTTATGTCATGCAAAAAAATGCAAATTAATTACTTAAAAATCATACAATGTGATTTTCTGGATTTTTGTTTTAGATTCCATCTCTCACAGTTGATGTGTAGCTATGATAAAAATTACAGACCTCTACATGCTTTGTAAGTAGGAAAACCTGCAAAATCGGCAGTGTATCAAATACTTGTTCTCCCCACTGTAGATGGCCGGGCGGGGTGGGTGTGGAGCCAGACACAGCAGGGGTTCAAACTGTAGAACCCAGTTCCTACATTTGAATATAAAAATTGATTTTATCAAACAAAATTATGCTACATTTTATCTCTGGGACCCTTAGGATGACAAATCAGAGCAAGATTACTGAATGTAAGTACATTATTTACCTTCAGAGATTAATGTATCAAACCAGTTGGTGTGTTACGTTTTTTGTTGTTGTGCACTCTCCTCAAACAATAGCATGGTATTTTTTCACTGTAACAGCTACTACAGTTTCTGATGTTCTGTGAAGGGAGTAGTACACAGTGCTGTACGAGCTCTTCAGTTTCTTGGCAATTTCTCGCATGGAATAGCCTTCATTTCTTAGAACAAGAACAGACTGACGTATTTCAGAAGAAAGTTCTTTGTTTCAGGCCATTTTGATCCTGTAATCGAACCCACAATTGCTGATGCTCCAGATACTCAATTAGTCTCAAGAAGGCCAGTTTTATTGCTTCTTTAATCAGCAAAAACAGTTTTCAGCTGTGCTAACATAATTGCAAAACGATTTTCTAATGATCAATTAGCCTTTTAAAATGATAAACTTGGATTAGCAAACACAACGTGCCATTGGAACACAGTACTGATGGTTGCTGATAATGGACCCCTGTACGCCTATGTAGATATTCCATTGAAAATCAGCATTTTCCAGCTACAATAGCTATTTACAACATTAACAATGTCTACACTGTATTTCTGATCAATTTGATGTTATTTTAATGGACAAAAAAATTGCTTTTCTTTCGAAAACAAGGACACTTCTAAGTGACCCCAAACTTTTCAACGGTAGTGTACATAAATTAGATATTTCTTTATTTAATTTTCAAAACATTTGCAAAAATTTCTAAAAACATGTTTTCACTTTGTCATTATGTGGTATTGTGTGTAATGGATGAGGTATTATTATTATCATTATATATATATATATATATATATATATATATATATATATATATATATTAATCAATTTTGAATTCAGGCTGTAACACAACAAAATGTGGAATGAGTCAAGGGGTATGAATACTTTCATTTGTTATTTTTCATTATATAACTTTTATATAGAATGATTCCATAAAGAACCTTTCTCAATCTCAAAGGTTCTTTGTAGAACCATACAGAGTTTTTTAAATTCTGGTTTAATAGCCATATTATATTGTTAAAATTCCATAGGTTGTATTTTTGTCTTTATTAACAAATTGAATCAGGTGTGCTAGCTCTGGAATGGCTGGGGGTCCCTGAGGAAAGAATTGAGAACCACTGACTGATTTAGTCAACTGTTCTCAATTGACACAAGGCCATATGTGAGTATTTCACAAAACACCATCACTTGCCATATTCATATACAGTATAACATCAAATAGCATAACACAACAGATTAGATAAACTGAAATGACACTCACTCACGGTTGCCCCAAAAAATATTTGAATGAGCCACCACCCCTACATATTAATTATCACTAAAAGAGGAAATAACCATTTTTTGAACTGCAAAGAAGGGTTCTTTGGGTCAGTATGTTTCCACATAGAACCATCACCCTTCCCAAAGAACCGTTGAGAGACCCTCATTTGTTTAGTGTGTAGTGTACTATTTTTGACCAGGGCCCATAGGCCCGTAGTCTGATCCAAGTGGATGAGAGCTCAATCAACAGGCATGACGGCTGGTTTCACCACCCACCCTGCCACAACAACTCATGTCAGTACACTACTTTGCCTCTGCCTCCTCCACCCAGTTTGGAAACAGTCTCTCCTTCACAATGGCACTTATGTCTGTGAATATATCATCTTCTTCGCGATTGGCATCAATCTAGAAATAGTCAAATACAAAAGGTTAGTGTACTACACTCTAACTTTTCATTAGCATGGCTGGTAGGAAATTGTATTTTGATGAAGACCAAAATAAATACAGTGAGGGAAAAAAGTATTTGATCCCCTGCTGATTTTGTACGTTTGCCCACTGACAAAGAAATGATCAGTCTATAATTGTAATGGTAGGTTTATTTGAACAGTGAGAGACAGAATAACAACAAAAAAATCTAGAGAAACGCATGTCAAAAATGTTATAGATTGATTTGCATTTTAATGAGGGAGATAAGTATTTGACCCCCTCTCAATCAGAAAGATTTCTGACTCCCAGGTGTCTTTTATACAGGTAACGAGCTGAGATTAGGAGCACACTCTTAAAGGGAGTGCTCCTAATCTCAGCTTGTTACCTGTATAAAAGACACCTGTCCACAGAAGCAATCAATCAATCAGATTCCAAACTCTCCATCATGGCCAAGACCAAAGAGCTCTCCAAGGATGTCAGGGACAAGATTGTAGACCTACACAAGGCTGGAATGGGCTACAAGACCATCGCCAAGCAGCTTGGTGAGAAGGTGACAACAGTTGGTGCGATTATTCGCAAATGGAAGAAACACAAAATAACTGTCAATCTCCCTCGGTCTGGGGCTCCATGCAAGATCTCACCTCGTGGAGTTGCAATGATCATGAGAACGGTGAGGAATCAGCCCAGAACTACACGGGAGGATCTTGTCAATGATCTCAAGGCAGCTGGGACCATAGTCACCAAGAAAACAATTGGTAACACACTACGCCGTGAAGGACTGAAATCCTGCAGCGCCTGCAAGGTCCCCCTGCTCAAGAAAGCACATATACAGGCCCGTCTGAAGTTTGCCAATGAACATCTGAATGATTCAGAGGAGAACTGGGTGAAAGTGTTGTGGTCAGATGAGACCAAAATCAAGCTCTTTGGCATAAACTCAACTCACCGTGTTTGGAGGAGGAGGAATGCTGCCTATGATCCCAAGAACACCATCCCCACCGTCAAACATGGAGGTGGAAACATTATGCTTTGGGGGTGTTTTTCCGCTAAGGGGACAGGACAACTTCACCGCATCAAAGGGACGATGGACGGGGCCATGTACCGTCAAATCTTGGGTGAGAACCTCCTTCCCTTAGCCAGGGCATTGAAAATGGGTCGTGGATGGGTATTCCAGCATGACAATGACCCAAAACACACGGCCAAGGCAACAAAGGAGTGGCTCAAGAAGAAGCACATTAAGGTCCTGGAGTGGCCTAGCCAGTCTCCAGACCTTAATCCCATAGAAAATCTGTGGAGGGAGCTGAAGGTTCGAGTTGCCAAACGTCAGCCTCGAAACCTTAATGACTTGGAGAAGATCTGCAAAGACAAGTGGGACAAAATCCCTCCTGAGATGTGTGCAAACCTGGTGGCCAACTACAAGCAACATCTGACCTCTGTGATTGCCAACAAGGGTTTTGCCACCAAGTACTAAGTCATGTTTTGCAGAGGGGTCAAGTACTTATTTCCCTCATTAAAATGCAAATCAATTTATTACATTTTTTACATTTGTTTTTCTGGATTTTTTTGTTGTTATTCTGTCTCTCACTGTTCAAATAAACCTACCATTAAAATTATAGACTGATCATGTCTTTGTCAGTGGGCAAACGTACAAAATCAGCAGGGGATCAAATACTTTTTTCCCTCACTGTATATACGTATCATAAACCTGAAAAACATGTGATCCAAAAAATGAGAGGCGGTCAAACACAGCAGCGATGCACTAATAGGAATGACTGTGGTGTAGCATTATGGTTTTGTTTGTCTTGTTTGCTGTGTGATATTGTGTTGGATATTGGATTCTCTATTATTATCATGTTGGATACAGAACCAAATTGTTTTTGTCATTGTTATGCCTGTCTAACTACTACTGTAATCCAATGTTACAAGAATCTGTGTGACATTTTCATCTGAAAGAAATCCAATAAAGTACATATCATCAAAATGGAGTGCCTGTGGAGTGAATCATCTTACAAAACAAACATGTGCACACTGAAAGCCAATAACGACCTAACGGCTGAACAAGCCTGAATAGGGCATTGAATGGAGGCTGTGACCACCTCAGGGCAATTTTGTATTATTCTGTGTGTACATTTATGACACTCCATTTAGTCTTATATATTAAGTTAGGTTAGCTTACATTATGAATGGAATAGCGGTAATACAATATCATATTAATAATAGGACGTATAGTATCATATGCTTACCCGGTCGTACAATAGCATATGAATTGGATGATGTAGTTTATCATATGTCTTGGAGGACATATCATATTAAACGTCTTTCTCTGAGACAAGATTGCTTGTTGCTCCGTAACAACAAAGGAGAATTACATTGGCGGTTACAGGAACTAACGACAACAAGGTGTGGGGGGGAATAGGGTGGACCTACCCTGACAATAAGTGCCCTCTCCTGGTAGTACTTGGCTATTGGAGGGATGTTGTGCTTAAACGTTTCCAGGCGTTTCTCGATGGCGTGGGTGTTATCGTCAGGGCGACCCTGCTGAGCGGCTCTCTGCTCAAGACGCTGGCGAAGTTGCTGATTGGAGCAGGCCAGTAGAATCACTAGGTCCGGCGAGCCAATCTGTATGCATGAGAGTTGGGATATAGTAAATATAATGAATAATACAAAAAATTGAGTAAAAAATGTAATGCTGTAATAAGAGATCAAAACACTACACACACAACACTCAGAACTCAACGTCAACTCAATTCAATTTGAATTTCATTGGATTATTTAACAGAATCGCCCACTACACTCAAAACTCTACGTGTGCAAAAAATTTATCTTCACAGCAAATTCCCCAGTGTTAACTTAACACTGAAAGTGTGGACCCGTATAGATACTGAACAGTGTTGAATTAACACACTGCTTAGTGTAATGCTTTATTTGCATATTTCCCAGAGTGCCTTGCCTTTGAAGTGAATTGTAGAGTTACCACCCATAACTGAATTTGTTAGTGACAGAGACATTTTTGTTGCATTCATTCCTTTTAAGACCTTGGACTTCACCAATTGAGATCCTAAGTCAATGTTATCATAAAAATGTAATTATTTAACACAATACAATATGTATTTCATAAGGCCTTATTTTGAGGGCTTATACAAAAAAATACTGGGTTGTTTGGATGACCCAACTGCTGGGTTGCAGGCATTGGATCACTTAGTCGGGTTGTTTTTTTAAAAGCGCAAGGTTGATTTGTTGTTGAAGGGTTATTGAGATATGTGAGAAAAACGTAATGTCCGCAACTCTGGTATGCTCCCATAGTGATTTAATCAGACGAACAACAAGGACAACGTTTTGATCCGAGTTGGATCTTGACCTGACGAAGATTACTTTTTTCTCTGATACGTTCTTCTGTTGTGCACCTGATTAGATGGATGTGCATATTTTTGGCAACCCGTGAGAGTAAATGTCATTCCGACATGTTTTTAGCTTTAATAAAGCTTACAGAAGTGTAGAAGTTCTTTAACCTTTTCACCCGTGAGTTCCAAATATCTTTAACGGTTGCCCCAGTGTGAGTTTTACATTGCAGTGTACAAACTTAACATGATTAACATTTACTCTCACAGGTGTCCAAAAATAACTATTATACAAGCCAAGCCCCTAATAAGCCACACCTCCTGAAAATAATTTATGGATGTACATTTTGTTTTTATATTAACCAATGTTTGGGTAATCCGAACAACCCAACACATTGGGTTATCTATGCAACCTGTCACATTATGCTGACTTGCAAAGTGATATGTAATTCCTATTGAAATCCAGCCATAGTGGGAATATCCAACCTGACATTTTTATCATCCTCAACCTGCATTTAGAATAACTGGCAGGTTGTGGAAGACTGAAATATGAGACTACCTTAAGCATCTAAACTGGAACAACTATTTCATTAATGGGTGCAATAAGTCCAGATAACATGTTGGATAAGTTTAGAAAATGTATGTCATTTTATATTTGAGAAGCATAAGATTAATTAGTCAATCAATGTACATGCAAAAACATAGATATTGAAAGTCTATGTTAGTGGCGCCGGAGATGATGGCTGCCGTTTTACAGCCCTCTAACCAATTGTACTATTATGTGTGTTTTTCCGTGTTATTTGTAATTTATTTTGTACATAATGTTTCTGCCATCGTCTCTTATAACCAAAAAGAGCTTCTGGATATCAGGACAGTGTTTACTCACCTCGTATTGGACGAAGATTTTGTCTTCAACGAGGCGGCCGCGAAGGATATCCTACAGACACCCGACAAGGCCCAAATCCCTGTCATTAGCATGAGAAAGAGACGGAGATATCGTGGACGTAGGTCGGGGTGCCTTGTAAGGATCCGACGGCGAGCGAGTAAACTGCCTCTCCCATCAATCATTTGAGAATAAATGGGATGACCTAAGATTATGGTTATCCTACCAACGGGGCATTAAAAACTGTAATATCTTATGTTTCACCGAGTTGTGGCTGAATGACGACATGGACAACATAAAGCTAGCGGGCTATAAGCTACATCGGCAGGATAGAACGGCTGACTCCGGTAAGACAAGGGCTGGCGGTCTGTGTATATTTGTAAACAACAGCTGGTGCACAAAATCAAATATTAAGGAAGTCTCGAGGTTTTGGTCGCCTGAGGTAGAGTATCTTATGATAAGCTGTAGACCACACTATTTACCAAGAGAGTTTTCATCTATATTTTTCATAGCTGTCTATTTACCACCACAAACCAATGCTGGCATTAAGATTGCACTGAATGAGCTGTATAAGGCCATAAGTCAACAGGAAAACGTTCACCCAGAGGCAGCTCTCCTAGTGGCCGGGGACTTTAATGCAGGGAAACTTAAATCCGTTCTACCTAATTTCTACCAGCATGTTTAAATGTGCAACCAGAGGAAAAAAAACTCTAGACCACCTTTACTCCACACACAGAGACGCATACAAAGCTCTCCCTCGCCCTCTATTTGGCAAATCTGACCATAACTCTATCCTCCTGATTCCTGCTTATGAGCAAAAACTAAAGCAGGAAGCACCAGTGACTCAGTTAATAAAAAAGTGGTCAGATGACGCAGATGCTAAGCTACAGGACTGTTTTTCTAGCACAGACTGGAACATGTTCCGGGATTCTTCAGATAGCATTGAGGAGTACACCACATCAGTCACTGGCTTCATCAATAAGTGCATCGATGATGTCGTCCCCACAGTGAGCGTACGTACATACCCCAACCAGAAGCCATGGATTACAGGAAACATCCGCACTGAGCTAAAGGGTAGAGCTGCCGCTTTCAAGGAGCGGGACTCTAACCCGGACGCTTATAAGAAATCCCACTATGCCCTCCGACGAACCATCAAACAGGCAAAGAGTCAATACAGGACTAAGATTGAATCGTACTACACCGGCTCTGACGCTTGTCGGATGTGGCAGGGATTGGAAACTATTACAGACTACAAAGAGAAGCAGAGCCACGAGCTGCCCAGTGACACAATACTTCCAGACGAGCTAAACCACTTCTATGCTCGCTTCGAGGCAAGCAACACTGAAGCATGCATGAGAGCACCAGCTGTTCCGGATGACTATGTGATCACGCTCTCCGTAGCCGATGTGAGTAAGACTTTTAAGCAGGTCAACATTCACAAGGCCGCAGGGCCAGACGGATTACCAGGACGTGTAGTCCGAGCATGTGCTGACCAACTGGCAAGTGTCTTCACTGACATTTTCAACATGTCCCTGACTGAGTCTGTAATACCAACATGTTTCAAGCAGACCACCATAGTCCCCGTGCCCAAGGACACTAAGATAATCTGCCTAAATTACTACCGACCCGTAGCACTGACGTCTGTAGCCATGAAGTGCTTTGAAAGGCTGGTCATGGCTCACATCAACAACATTATTCCAGAAACCCTAGACCCACTCCAATTTGCATACCGCCCCAACAGATCCACAGATGATGCAATTTCTATTGCACTCCACACTGCCCTTTCCCACCTGGACAAGAGGAACACCTACGTGAGAATGCTATTCATTGACTACAGCTCAGCATTCAACACCATATTGCCCTCAAAGCTCATCACTAAGCTAAGGATCCTGGGACTAAACACCTCCCTCTGCAACTGGATCCTGGACTTCCTGACGGGCCGCCCCCAGGTGGTAAGGGTAGGTAACAACACATCTGCCACACTGATCCTCAACACAGGGGCCCCTCAGGGGTGCGTGCTCAGTCCCCTCCTGTACTCCCTGTTCACCCATGACTGCATGGCCAGGTACGACTCCAACACCATCATTAAGTTTGCCGACGACACAACAGTGGTAGGCCTGATCACTGACAACGATGAGACAGCCTATAGGGAGGAGGTCAGAGACCTGGCCGTGTGGTGCCAGGATAACAACCTCTCCCTCAACGTGACTAAGACAAAGGAGATGATTGTGGACTACAGAAAAAAAAAGAGGACTGAGCACGCCCCCATTCTCATCGACAGGGCTGTAGTGGAACAGGTTGAGAGCTTCAAGTTCCTTGGTGTCCACATCACCAACAAACTATCATGGTCCAAACACACCAAAACAGTCGTGAAGAGGGCACGACAAAGCCTATTTCCCCTCAGGAGACTGAAAAGATTTGGCATGGGTCCTCAGATCCTCAAAAAATTATACAGCTGCACCATCGAGAGCATCCTGACTGGTTGCATCACCGCCTGGTATGGCAACTGCTTGGCCTCCGACCGCAAGGTACTACAGAGGGTAGCGCGTACGGCCCAGTACATCACTGGGGCCAAGCTTCCTGCCATCCAAGACCTCTATACCAGGCGGTGTCAGAGGAAGGCCCTCAAAATTGTCAAAGACTCCAGCCACCCTAGTCATAGACTGTTCTCTCTGCTACCGCACGGCAAGCGGTACTGGAGTTCCAAGTCTAGGTCCAAAAGACTTCTCAACAGCTTCTACCCCCAAGCTATAAGACTCCTGAACAGCTAATCATGGCTACCCGGACTATTTGCAATGCCCCCCACCCCCACCCCCACCCCCACCCCCCACCCCATCTTTTTACGCTGCTGCTACTCTGTTAATTATTTATGCATAGTCACTTTAACTCTACCCACATGTACATATTACTTCAACTACCTCAACTAGCCGGTGCCCCCGCACATTGACTCTGCACCGGTACCCCCCTGTATATATAGCCTCCCTACTGTTCTTTTATTTTACTTCTGCTCTTTTTTTCTCAACACTTTTTTGTTGTTTAATTTTACTTTTTTTATTAAAAATAAATGCACTGTTGGTTAAGGGCTGTAAGTAAGCATTTCACTGTAATGTCTGCACTTGTTGTAATCGGCGCATGTGGCCAATAAAATTTGATTTGATTTGATTTGAAACAAACAATAGAGCATGCTGGGAAATATGATAATGATGGGTGTGGTTTTTGTTCAACTCTGGTTATTAACAGCAACACTGGGGTTATTTTACACCAATGAGTGTTAATTCAACACTTGCAGAGCTAATTGTTATGTTTAGAGTGTAGACCCTCAAAATAAGGCCTTATGAAATACGTATTGTACTGTGTTAAAATATTACATTTTTATGACAACATATTCGCTCAGGACGTCCATAAGACTGAAAATGGATGAATGCAACAACCATGTCTGTGTCACTAACAAATACATTCATGGGTGGTAACTCTACAATTCCTCGAAAGGCAAGGCACTCTGGGAAACAAGGCTTTACACCAAGCAGTGTGTTAATTTAACACTGTTCCAGTGTCTATATGGGTCCACACTTTCAGTGTTAATTTAACACTGGAGAATTTGCAGTGTTCGATAATACATGTGTATACACAGTGTTGGTGAAGCTACTCTGAAAATATAGTTTACCAAGCTACAAATTACTTCACACTGGAAGAAGTTAAGCTACACTAAAGCTACCATTAAAAAATATATAGTTACTTTGAAAAGGTAGCTCACTACTTCCAAACTACTTTGTGATAAATTATCATATCTAAATCTGAAATGACATAGACTTGAAATTTAAATCACTCTGTAACGCTGAGCTAACGCGATATGGATTGAATAGAGCCCTAAGGCCTTAGGTATTAGACCAGTGTTTGTCATAGGTTTAGTAAGGAATGTGTCACCAGCATGCCTGAGTGACTAATCAAGCTGTTCAATTGCTAACAGTTAGTAAAAACGGCTAGTCCAATACAGTCAGTGTCTACAAGTATATGAACGTGTACGTTTTTGACTAACTCCTCCATTTAAGGTGGTTGAATGGGTTGTTGATTCAGGTTGAGAGTTGTTAGGTAGTTGCATTACAATAATAAATACAAAAGGAGATAAACTTAATCATACTTATCATTCACCAATTACCAGGATATATTACACAGTGAAAAATATTTATGGTGCTATTCAGAACCATCTCATGAATGTTACTTTTTTTTACCAGGTACATTGACTGAGAACACAATCTCATTTACAGCAATGACTTGGGGAATAGTTACAGGGGAGAGGAGGGGGATGAATGAGCCAACTGGAAACTGAGGATGATTAGGTGGCCATGATGGTATGAGGGCCAGATTGGGAATTTAGCCAGGACACCAGGCGTAAACACCCCTACTCTTATGATAAGTGCCATGGGATCTTTAGTGACAACATTGAACATTCATAAAAGGGTTCTACATGGCAGCAAAAAAGGGTGCTGCCCTGGTGATAAACCAAAACTTTTAGAGTATGGATGAAATAGGGTAGATGTCATTCACCTGCTCCTCAAAGGTAAATGCCTGGGCAATCTCCCGTGGGAACCCATCCACAATAAAACCCTTGGCACCTTGCTGCTTGATGAACTGCTGCTTCAGCTCCTCAATTGTCGTCTCCTGAAGAATAAAGACAGTGAGCACTACAAGACCATGGTACTTGCCTACGGAGCAGCAAGAGGAACTGCTCCTCCCTAACTTCAGGCTCTGCTCAAACCCTACACCCCAACAAGAGTACTCCGTTCTGCCACCTCTGGTCTCTTGGCCTTCCCACTCCTACGGGAGGGCAGCTAACGCTCAGCCCAGTCCAAGCACCCCAATGGTGGAACCAGCTACTCCCTGAAGCTAGGACAGCAGAGTCCCTGCCCATCTTCCTGAAAACAAATCAAACCCTATCTCTTCAAAGAGTATCTTAAATAATCCCACAGGGCACCTTGAACCTGAACACATTATCTAACAATGGCATCCTTGGTTCCCACAATATGGCCATGCTGCAAAGTTGAGTCTTGAAAATGTTAGGTAGGTTAGGGTTAGGTATTTAGGTTAAGGTTAACGTTAGGGCTAGTCTTAAAATAATATTTTTAGAAGAGAAATTGTAGAACTTCCGTCTTTGCTGCTTGGCCAGGTAGTGACAGCCGGCATCCTACCTGAGGTGCCAGTTCCCCGTTGGCGATGATCTTAGCGATGAGCTCCCACTTTCTGTCACTAGAGGCATGGTGCAGGAGCTGGTTCCGCAGGATCTCTCCCACAGACACACACTCAAAACGATAATGGCTTGCAATTTTGGCAGTTTGGGTGCCCTTTCCGCTTCCTGGTCCCCCTAGACAAAAATACATGTTAAAAAGTTATTTTTATGCTTACACAATACAGGGAACCAAAAGGTGAATCATTACTATTTTTCTTTGTTGCCACAAGCTTACCAATGACAAAAATTATGTGAGGTCGGGGCTTAGAGGGGTCAAAAACGTCATACTCCTGAATAAGTCCAGTGGACTCAGTCATATCTGAGTCGCTCTCGATGGAGAACTGGGCCTGAATGGGAGTGAGGCGGTCATACCGACGGTAAGGTCCGGGACCGGGTCCGGGTACAGGTCTGGTGTCTGCCACAAAGAAGTCAAAGGAACGTCAAATAACTGTCAAACAAAGCAACCATAGTAGTCCCTTGTTTGAAACTCCCCAGCAAACATGTTCACACTGGCATGATGTGGGCCCAATGTGGGCTAAAATATTGTCCCCACATAGGCTGCCCACATTGGGCCAATGCGCCTTTGCTCATTGGCTCCACATTGGCATGCAAGGCATTGACCCAGTTTGAGCAGCCCATATCTAGTGAGGGCAGCCCTCACTTTGCCTGAAATAAGCCAATTTTTCCCCAGCAAACTTGCCCACATTGGTAGGATGTGGGCCCAACATTGGAAGGTTGTGGGATCATCGGCACCACATTGGACCCAAGGCAGGTGGCCCCAAGGGCAGCCCTCACTTCGCCTGAAATACTGTAAGCCCACACAAAGTTGTTACTATCATGTATATTTTCTACAGAGAAACGTAAAAGTTGGTGACGCTTTAAATGACGTTCAGCTTATAAAGGCTTCTTAAAGCCTTCATAATGCCTTCATAAGCACTATATAAATGTGTTAAAGTATCTATAACCGCATGTCATGCTTTATAAAGGGTTTATAAATGTGCCATTGCTGTGTGACATAATCACCAAGGTCAAATGTGACATAACCCACTGTTGAATATGATATACAGTACCAGTCAAAAGTTTGGACACCTACTCATTCAAGGGTTTTTCTTTAATTTTACTATTTTCTACATTGTAGAATATTAGTGAAGACATCAACACTATGAAATAACACATATGGAATCATGTAGTAACCAAAAAAGTGTTAAACAAATTAAAATATATTTAAGATTTTAGATTCTTCAAAGTAGCCACCCTTTGCCTTGATGACAGCTTTTCACACTCTTGGCATTCTCTCAACCAGCTTCACCTGGAATGCTTTTCCAACACTCTTGAAGGAGTTACCACATGTGCTGAGCACTTGTTGGCTGCTTTTCCTTCACTCTGCCGTCCGACTCATCCCAAACCATCTCAATTCTGGAGGCCAGGTCATCTGATGCAGTGACTCCATCACTCTCCATCTTGGTAAAATAGCCCTTACACCGCCTGGAGGTGTGTTGGGTCATTGTCCTGTTGAAAAACAAATGATAGTCCCACTAAGCCCAAAACAGATGGGATGGTGTATCACTGCAGAATGCTGTGGTAGCCATGCTGGCTAAGTGTGCCTTGAATTCTAAATAAATCACGGACAGTGTCAACAGCAAAGCACCCCCACACGATAACACCACCTCCTCCATGCTTTACGGTGGGAAGTACACATGCGGAGATCATCCGTTCACCCACACCGCGTCTCACAAGGACACGGAGGTTGGAACCAAAAATCTCCAATTTGGACTCCAGACCAAAATACAAATTTCCTCTGGTCTAATGTCCATCGCTCGTGTTTCTTGGCCCAAGCAGGTCTCTTCTTCTTATTGGTGTCCTTTAGTAGTGGTTTCTTTGCAGCAATTGACCATGAAGGCCTGATTCACACAGTCCCCTCTGAACAGTGTATATTGAGATGTGTCTGTGACTTGAACTCTGTGAAGCATTTATTTGGGCTGCAATTTCTGAGGCTGGTAACTCTAATGAACTTATCCTCTGCAGCAAAGGTAACTCTGGGTCTTCCATTCCTGTGGTGGTCCTCATGAGAGCCAGCTTCATCATAGCGCTTGATGGTTTTTGCGACTGCACTTGAAGAAACTTTCATAGTTCTTGGAATTTTCCTATTTGACTGACCTTCATGTCTTAAAGTAATGATGGACTGTCGTATCTCTTTGCTTATTTGAGCTGTTCTTGCCATAATATGGACTTGGTCTTTTACCAAGTAGGGCCATCTTCTGTATACCCCCTTACCTTGTCACAACACAACTGATTGGCTCAAAATTCCACAAATTAACTTTTAAGAAGACACACCTGTTAATTGAAGCTGGTTGAGAGAATGCCAGGAGTGTGCAAAGCTGTCATCAAGGCAAAGGGTGGCTATTTGAAGAATCTCAAATATAAAATATTTTGATTTGTTTAACACTTCTTACTACATGATTCCATATGTGTTATTTCATAGTTTTGATGTCTTCACTATTATTCTACAATATAGAAAATAGTAAAAATAAAAAATAAAACTTGAATGAGTAGGTGTGTCCAAACTTTTGACTTGTAGTGTAAATTAGTGCTTTATAAAGGGTGACATGTTGTGCTGAAGGATGGCATACGCTCTAAGGCGAAATCATGTTAGTCACATTACACCTAATCTCACTCCTAGACACTTTCACCCAAATGCATGGAAGATCTGGTGGACCAACACATCAAACTTGGCCTTCATTAGTTAGGGATAGGTTTAAAAACACATTTTAAGAAGATAATTTTTGGAAATGGGCAGTGTTGTAGCCATAATTATGACTTTGTGACTGTGTTAACTAGTGACGACCAGGGGGAATGTTTTTGCTATGGTCACTCCCACTAAGGCCAACTTTGAATAGTTGATATCCCAGGCTTATGCTGTATGCGTTGTGTGCGTTGTGTGCGCAATAGCCAGGGGACGACGTTACACCAAGAAACACTTACCTTGATGAAAGCCCCCAATATAGGAAATGGAAAGTGGCTTTCTTCTGGAACCAAGTTCCTCAGAACACATACCCCCACACAACAATGTAACGAGCCATACTGTACGGTGCTGGCCCCAGTCAGGTCTTTGACACATTCACCCACTCCCCCGCTGAAAGATCAGCCACAGAATGTTGGCATCATTGTAACAGGTTGTAATCAAGCCCTGGTCTCCAGCATTGGAACAGAAGAGGAATAACTGGTGCGGTAGTCTCAGGTTGGACTACACACACACACACACACACACACACAAGCTTTGCAGGTCCATCAGATCATTTAAATACCTCACACCCAACACCTTCATAAATCAGCAGAACATTAATCAATTATTTATTGACACTTTATGTAGTGTCCTGTAATACTTAGTTTGAAGTGAGACACCTTTGGTCATTCATAACACATCCATAAAGACACTATATCGCATGACGCTGTACTTACTTTAAAGTCAGATCCCTTTGGTCATCTATAACACATACATAAAGGCTTTGTATCAAATAAACATTTAAACCATACATTTCCTTTTATTTGTACATTTTTAAAACAATACAAATATGTTACGTTTCAAGAAGTCCAGCAATGCAATTACATTGAATATTACACATGGCTGTGAATAGTGTAGCTTGTTCCTGAGCTGGCAGAATGAATGGTTCATGCCTCTCTGCCTGCTGGAGGTACTGCATGTTGGTTCCAACCTTAAAAGTTACAACAAAGAAAGTTAGCAGGTTTGTTAGGAAATGCCTTTGTCTCACTATCTGGATAAGGACATTTCTGTGCTGTGCCAGAAATACTCTCAATGGGGAGATGGCAAACTCCATTTGATTTATATTATTATATTCCTCTTTCATTTACAAATCTCATGATGTGACTGAGACATGGCTGGATTTTTATTTAGCTGAGCCTATGGCTAGCAACATTTTGAAATAACGATTGAGGTAGCTACAGTATGTAATCTAACTCAACACTTAACTACTACAAACTAATTTAAATTACAATAAATAAAGGTTAACTTACTTGTTTTTCACTGTCCAGTGGCACCACAAGTGGGCAGTCATGCCACATTTATGAACCCTTTATAAAGCATGACATACGGTTATAGATTATATTTAACACATTTATGTAGTGTAAGATGCATGTAATTTACAGCGGCACCCTTTTTGGTAATATTGGGCGTACATATTGCACCGTACACAATTTTCTGTACATTGTGTCGCAGTAAAAGAGGGTCCATTTTACTCAGGAGCACCTCTAGTTTCCAAATCCACAGAGTTTCACCCCGGGCATCATATATACATTCCTAAATACAAGCTTAAACGGTTAGCTAAACTCATGTTAACAGTCCTTTTTGCATCTTCAGGCAGTGAAAAAAAAAAAAAGCTAGCTCATTACTATTAAAACTCTTCTTTTTTTTTCATTCTGCAAGTCAGACTCCAGGCTACAATGCCAAACAAGGTGATAGGATAAATGTTTTGACTGAGATTAAAAAACAGTTAAATCTTTGTCAATAAGGAGATTTAATGAACCGCTAGATTTGATTGATAAAGTTCCTTCAGAAAGTATTCACACCCCTTGACTTTTTCCACATAATGGTTTAACAGCATTAATTTTAAATGTATTACATTTAGATTGTATGTCACTGGCCCACACACAATATCCCATAATGTCAAAGTGGAATTACGTTTTTAAACATTTTCACAAATCAATTCAAAATGAAAAGCTGAAATGTCTTGAGTCAATAAGTATTCAACCCCTTGTTATGGCAAGCCTAAATAAGTTCAGGAGTAAACATTTGCTTAACAAGTCACATAATATGTTGCATGGACTCACTCTGTGTGCAATCATAGTGTTTAACATGATTTTTGAATAACTTTACCCCATACATACAATTACAGTGCCTACAGAAAGTATTCATACCCCTTGACCTATTCCAAATGTTGTTGTGTTACAGCCTGAATTTAAAATGGATTAAATAGATTTTACGTCACTGGCCTACACACAACACCCCATAATGACAAAGTGAAAACATGTTTTTAGAAATTTTTGCAAATTTATTGAAAAGGAAATACAGAAATATCTAATTTACATAAGTAGTCACACCCCTGATCAATACTTTGTAGAAGCACCTTTGTCAGCGATTACAGCTATTCGTCTTTTTGGGTAAGTCTCTAAGAGCTTTGCACACCTGGATTGTAAAATATTTGCCCATTATTCTTTTTTAAATAATCCATCCACTTTGAATTCAGTCTGTAACAACAATGTGGAATAAGTCAAGGGGTAGGAATACTTTCTGAAGGCAAGTGATGGCTACATGATTTGGGCCTTAAAACTGTTGTAAATGTCATTTACATAGATTACTGTGAAAAAAACGTTTTGCTTAATGGCAACCTAAATTCTGTTTTTACACAATAGAATCCTTTAGAAATTTTCCAGCATTTAATCACAAGGGGGGATGCACCTATCAATCAATCAAACTTTATTTATATAGCACATTTCTGACAGAGGATGCATTTCAAAGTGCTTAAGATAAGCAGAGTAAGGTGTTTACATGACTAATGCCATACTCTGCCTACTGCCATAATCAGTTTAACATCAAATTATTACTGTGCATGTAAACATACTCAGTGATGTGTTGTGTAGGATTTGCCCAAACATAACACTTTGTATTCAGGACATAAAGTTCATTTCTTTGGCACATTCTGTGCAGTTTTACTTTAGTGCCTTATCGCAAACAGGATACATTTATTTATTTATTATTTTATTTTTGGTCATTTAGCAGACGCTCTTATCCAGAGCGACTTACAGGAGCAATTAGGGTTAAGTGCCTTGCTCAAGGGCACATGGACAGATATTTCACCTAGTCGGCTCGGGGATTAGAACCAGCAACCTTTCGGTTACTGGCACAACGCTCTTACCCACTAAGCTACCTGCATGTATTGGAATATTTGTATTCTGTACAGGCTTCCTTCTTTTCACACTTAGGTTAGTATTGTGGAGTAACTACAATGTTGTTGATCCATCCTCAGTTTTCTCCTATCACAGCCATTAAACTCTGTAACTGTTTTGAAGTCACCATTGGCCTCATGGTGAAATCCCTGAGTGTTATCCTCCCTTCCCAGCAACTGAATAGGGAAGGACGCCTGTATCTTTTTAGTGACTGGGTGTATTGATACACCCTCCAAAGTCTAATTAATAACTTCACCATGCTCAAAGGGATATTCAATGTCTGCTTAATTTTTTAATAGGTGCCCTTCTTCGCAAGGCATTAGAACATTTCCCTGATCATTGTGGTTGAATCTGTGTTAAATTCAAGCATGACAGAGGATAATTGTGTGTGTGGGGTTCAGAGGTAGTCATAACAAAATTGTTTAAACACTATTATTGCACAGAGAGTCCATGCAACTTATTATGTGACTTGTTTAGCACATTTTTACTCCTGAACTTATTTAGGCTTGGTATAACAAAGGGGTTGAATTCTTATTGACTCAAGACATTTCAGCTTTTAATTTCTCATTCATTAGTAAAAATTTTGAAAAACATAATTCCACTTTGACATTATGGGGTATTGTGTGTAGGCCAGTGACATTTTTTTTTTTTACATTCAATCCATTTTAAATTCAGGCTGTAACACAACAAAATGTGGAAAAAGTCAAGGGGTGTGAATAGTTTCTGAAGGCACCGTAGCTACATTTTGAGGTGTCACATTTTGATTGAAGTGTAACGACAATTTTTGTGAATCACTTCCAATGATATCAAGTTATTATCAATAGAACAGGGGGCTAAAGTTTAAAGTGTATGCGTGCTGTGCCATTTGAGTTAAAAAATGATAACAGCGTTCTAAGTCCTGTGATGGACAGGCGCGTATAACAAAATCAAAAGGTACCAAACCAAATATATGAATCTGTTTAAAGCAATCGATTTAATGTATTTGTGATGACTGTAAATGTGTATATTAACATCACCAATCTGAAGCAAAAAGGATGTGTAATTCCACTCAATTTTATGCGGTGAAAATTCGAGCTTGTGTAACGTAGTAACACATACTGTCCACATAGGGGAAATTGGCGTAATATAAAATAATTCAATATGACCAAATAATTCAATATTTTTATTTAGTAAAGGAAGCACGCTCACAGTTTTTTTTTTACAATAATGATAACTGTGTGCTCTAGACTAGAGCTTCCATAGTAACTGTGCAGCAGCCTGAACCTTTGATGTCCCTACTCTCGGTCTTGGCAGCTAGCAGCTGCTGTATAGGTGTCTGTCTCTCTTGGTGCTTAAACATCCATGCAGCTTTGAGCAACAATTTCGAAGGAAATCTTACAGAAAGTTCAACCATAAACACATTCCCAGCCGTTTCTTTAGATAACAGCATAAATGAGTTATGCTAACGCAAACGAGAATGTTTACAATGCCATGGCTGAATGCCTCTTTTGATTCAAATCTAATTTCCCACAATGATTTTAATCTGAACAGGACATCCATTCCATTTAGCTACTGTTTTTTTTATTAGTTCTCAGGTCAAAAGATTTAAGCAAATGATCTCAATTCTAGTAGTAACAGCTTGTGAGTTCATGTTGAACAACATGGATAAGTAGCCTAGGCTAGATCTACACAGAACAATAATATAAATGCAAGATGCAACAATTTAAAATATTTTTCTGAGTTACAGTTCATATAAGGAAATGTCAATTGAAATAAATTAATTAGGCCCTAATCTATAGATTTCACATGTCTGGGAATACAGATATGCATCTGTTGGTCACAGATACCTTAAAAAAAGGTAGGGGTGTGGATCAGAAAGCCAGTCAGAATCTGGTGTGACCATCTTTTGCCTCATGCAGCGCGACACATCTTCTTCGCATAGAGTTGATCAGGCTGTTGATTGTGACCTGTAAAATGTTGTCCCACTCTTCTATGGCTGTGCGAAGTTGCTGATTGGCGGAAACTGAAACATGCTGTCGTACACGACGATCCAGAGCATCCCAAACATGCTCAATGGGTGACATGTCTGGTGAGTTTGCAGGCCATGGAGGAACATTTTCAGCTTCCAGGAATTGTGTACAGATCCTTGCGACATGGGGCTCTGCATTATCATGCCCAAACATGAGGTGATGGCGGCAGATGAATGGCACAACAATGGGCCTCAGGATCTCGTCACGGTATCTCTGTGCATTAAAATTGCCATCGATAAAATGCAATTGTGTTCATTGTCCATAGCTTATGCCTGCCCATACCATAACCCCACCGCCACCATGGGGAACTCTGTTCACAACATTGACCGCAAGTCTGCCATCTGCTCGGTACAGTTGAAACCGGGATTAATCCGTAAAGAGCACACTTCTCCAGCGTGCCAGTCGCCATCAAACTGCAGTCAGGTCAAGACCCTGGTGAGGACGACGAGCACTCAGATGAGCTTCCCTGAGACGGTTTCTGACAGTTTATCCAGAAATTCTTTGGTTGTGCAAACCCACAGTTTCATCAGCTGTCCGGGTGGCTGGTCTCAGACAATCCCGCAGGTGAAAAAGCCGGATGTAGAGGTCCTGGTCTGGCGTGGTTACATGTGGCCTGCGGTTGTGAAGCCGGTTGGACGTACTGCCAAATTCGACATTAGAGGCAGCTTATGGTAGAGAAATGAACATTCAATTATCTTGCAAAAGCTCTGGTGGACATTCCTGCAGTCAGCATGGCAATTGCACACACCCTCAGAACTTGTGGCATTGTGTTGTGTAACAAAACTGCACATATTAGGGTGGTCTTTTATTTTCCCCCGCACAAGGTGCACCTCTGTAATGATCATGCTGTGTAATCAGCTTCTTGATATGCCACACCGCATTGTCTCCATACTGTTTGTTGCTACTTGGCTACCTGCCAAACATTTTCGCTTTTTACTCTTAATAACTATTTAATCAAACTCTGTATTTAACAAGTTTACCAAGGTCTTAGTTTTGTCCTCACACTACTTTTTTTATTCAACTTTTTCACCCTGGACACTTTATCTGTACATAGATCTGCAGGACCTCCTCCGGCTGAAAAAAAAGCTAAGTAACATTATGCCTTCTTATTGCAGTCGCTGTACTCTTAATATACTGTACAGGAGAACTATCGCCTTATTGTGAGGATAACCAAGTTGCAAGCTAGGGTTCAGATGCAATCGTTAGGCAAGGGCAATTTAAGTGTAGGAAAGGATGATACAGTGTCTGTGCCAGCAGTAAATACAGGTAGTAGTGTTAATCCCCCTACACAGTCCCTGCAGCTGGACAATTTTCTCATGGCTTCTGGAAAGAAATGCTTTCGGCATGCTCAACCATTGTCGCTCATTCAGCCGATATAAACTTTTAACTGGTTTTCCCCACTAAGCAACGAGTCGGAGTCAGAGCACGAGCCTTCTCAGGTCTTTTCTCCACCAGTTACGGGGTCTGAGCCGCCGAAGTCTCGCACCATTAGCTCGGACAAATTGAAAACCCTAGTCATTGGCGACTCTATTACCTGCAATATTAGACTTAAAAAGAATCATCCAGCGATCATACATTACATTGTTTACCAGGGGGCAGGGCTACTGACGTAAAGGCTAATCTGAAGATGGTGCTGGCTGAGGCTAAAACTGGCGAGTGTAGATGGTATAGGGATATTGTTATCCACGTCGGCACCAATGATAGGATGAAACAGTCAGAGGTCACAAAGCGCAACATAACTTCAGCGTGTAACTTAGATAGAAGGATGTGTTGGCAGGACCTGAGCCCTAGGACTATGCCTCAGAACTGGAGTACCTGGTCTGATGACTCCTGGCTGTCCCCGTCCCCAGTCTACCTGGTCGTGCTGCTGCTCCAGTTTCAACTGTTCTGCTTGAGGCTATGGTACCCTGACCTGTTCACCGGATGTGCTACTTTGTCCCAGACCTGCTGTTTTCGACTCTCTCTCGCGCTCTCTCTCTCTCGCTCTCTCAACCTCGGCTATGAAAAGTCAACTGATATTTAATCCTGAGGTTCTGACCTGTTGCACCCTCTACAACCACTGTGATTATTATTTGTCCCTGCTGGTCATCTGTGAACGTTTGATCGTGTAATCTCCACCCGGCAGAGACGGAAGAGGACTGGTCACCCCTCAGATCCTGGTACCTCACTAGGTTTCTTCCTAGGTTCCTGCCTTTCTAGGGAGTTTTTCCTAGTCACCATGCTTCTACAACTGCATTGCTTGCTGTTTGGGGTTTTAGGCTGGGTTTCTGTATAAGCACTTTGTGACATCTGCTGATGTAAAAAGGCTTTATAAATAAATGTGATTTGATTATCTTGGCAAAGGAGAAATGCTCATTAACAGGGATGTAAACAAATGTGTGCACAAAAGTTGAGAGAAATACAGTGGGGAAAAAAAGTATTTAGTCAGCCACCAATTGTGCAAGTTCTCCCACTTAAAAAGATGAGAGAGGCCTGTAATTTTCATCATAGGTACACGTCAACTATGACAGACAAATTGAGAAAACAAATTCCAGAAAATCACATTGTAGGATTTTTAATGAATTTATTTGCAAATTATGGTGGAAAATAAGTATTTGGTCACCTACAAACAAGCAAGATTTCTGGCTCTCACAGACCTGTAACTTCTTCTTTAAGAGGCTCTTCTGTCCTCCACTTGTTACCGGTATTAATGGCACCTGTTTGAACTTGTTATCAGTATAAAAGACACCTGTCCACAACCTCAAACAGTCACACTCCAAACTCCACTATGGCCAAGACCAAAGAGCTGTCAAAGGACACCAGAAACAAAATTGTAGACCTGCACCAGGCTGGGAAGACTGAATCTGCAATAGGTAAGCAGCTTGGTTTGAAGAAATCAACTGTGGGAGCAAATATTAGGAAATGGAAGACATACAAGACCACTGATAATCTCCCTCGATCTGGGGCTCCACGCAGGATCTCACCCCGTGGGGTCAAAATGATCACAAGAACGGTGAGCAAAAATCCCAGAACCACACGGGGGGACCTAGTGAATGACCTGCAGAGAGCTGGGACCAAAGTAACAAAGCCTACCATCAGTAACACACTACGCCGCCAGGGACTCAAATCATACAGTGCCAGACGTGTCCCCCTGCTTAAGCCAGTACATGTCCAGGCCCGTCTGAAGTTTGCTAGAGTGCATTTGGATGATCCAGAAGAGGATTGGGAGAATGTCATATGAAACCAAAATAGAACTTTTTGGTAAAAACTCAACTCGTCGTGTTTGGAGGACAAAGAATGCTGAGTTGCATCCAAAGAACACCATACCTACTGTGAAGCATGGGGGTGGAAACATCATGCTTTGGGGCTGTTTTTCTGCAAAGGGACCAGGACGACTGATTCGTGTAAAGGAAAGAATGAATGGGGCCATGTATCGTGAGCTTTTGAGTGAAAACCTCCTTCCATCAGCAAGGGCATTGAAGATGAAACGTGGCTGGGTCTTTCAGCATGACAATGATCCCAAACACACCGCCCGGGCAACGAAGGAGTGGCTTCGTAAGAAGCATTTCAAGGTCCTGGAGTGGCCTAGCCAGTCTCCAGATCTCAACCCCATAGAAAATCTTTGGAGGGAGTTGAAAGTCCGTGTTGCCCAGCGACAGCCCCAAAACATCACTGCTCTAGAGGAGATCTGCATGGAGGAATGGGCCAAAATACCAGCAACAGTGTATGAAAACCTTGTGAAGACTTACAGAAAACATTTGACCTGTGTCATTGCCAACAAAGGGTATATAACAAAGTATTGAGAAACTTTTGTTATTGACCAAATACTTATTTTCCACCATAATTTGCAAATAAATTCATAAAAAATCCTACAATGTGATTTTCTGGATTTTTTTTTCTCATTTTGTCTGTCATAGTTGACGTGTACCTATGATGAAATTTACAGGCCTCTCTCATCTTTTTAAGTGGGATAACTTGCACAATTGGTGGCTGACTAAATACTTTTTTTCCCCACTGTAAACTTTTTGTGCATATGTCAAATTTCTGGGATATTTTATTTAGGCTAACGAAACATGGGACCAACACTTTACGTGTTGCGTTTATATTTTTGTTCAGTGGATTGTACCATTGGATTATTCTATTTCTTCTGCATCCGTTGGTAGCAACCATTAGTGATTATCGGGGCGGCGCTATAGCTGTGTTTGTTAGACAGGTGCGGATCCCGAAGGGGCCCGGGGCCCGGGTCTTTTTACAGAAATGGCTGTAGAGTCCAAATGGTTTGAGCTACAAACTATTAATAGCTCACATAACTGTAATAATATTCACATAGTTGCTGTCACAAACTCCAATCTCCACACGGTTGTCACTGACTGGTTGGATATTATTTCCCACTGAGCAAACTATTTCTGTACTTACAGCATTCATATAAATTCATTTTTTATCAGGTTTTTGCTTTGGTGGACCTTTATTTATTTGGCAATAAAACTCATGAGTGCAACTGTTTATGTCAAATGGTTTTGTATTCTACCTGTAGAACAGCATGTTCTGATCATCAAATCAACTATCATGTGTATTTGACTGACTGGTCAAATTGCTCTCTGTGTAAAGTGCCTAGTCCACGTAATTGTCGCATATTGTGGCAAGGGTTCGAATCTCACATGAGACCCCCCCCCCCCTTTGAAATTTAGATTTACATGTGTTAGTGTGTTGAAATGGTACTCCTACAGCCAACAGCTTGAAAATGAAGATTATGAATTAATTTTATAAGGAGCTACCTCTTTCTTGTGCCTTTCACATAACACACTGCTATTGCCCAATAATCATATTGCAGAGGCTATATTACATGGACGTGTACACCTAAATGTAGGCCTACAACATTTTATATGCAATTTTAGAATAAGCTTCTTTTTGTCACATATGCATTATTTGACTCAAGAAGGACGAGCATTACAAAGTGTACAGTATGATTGTAATTATCATCCTACAGATTGCAGTATCACAGTTATTTTAAATAAGTATTTTAAATCGACAGTCAATGTAGGAAGACACTTGGCTGTCATTAGTTTATTGTTATGTAGGCTACACTTACATGTAGGCCTACAACGTTTTATAAGCTATGCATTATTATAATCATCCACTTCGACACGTGTTTTGAATCGAGCATCAAGGACCGGTAGTGAACAGTTCTTTCCTCAACAACAAAAAAAGCTTAACATGAGGGTGGCTCGAACCCACAGTTAAAGTGCACTACTGATTTTGAGTCAACCGCTTTAGCAGTGTGTGCCACCTAGAAGCAATTATGATAACTATAGCCTACATGACTGCTATTTGACAAAAACATTAGGTTTTTATTTTTGTTTTTATATATGATAAATGTTGTAAGGACCTCATTTTTCTCTTCTTCATAAAAGCATATGGATGTGTGTGAAACAGATAAACAAAAATGTGGGATTTTGTGCCAAAACATTAAAATGTTTGATGAATCAATGCAATATTGGCACACAACATTTTGTTACAGACCAACGGAACAAAAGTAAACCTTGTATTTGTAGGTTTAAAATATCCCTCTAGTAAGCCAAGGTTCACCTATTTTAAAAAATGCCATTGGTTGGTGGATATGAAGTCTAAGATATTTGATAGGCTGATGAAGACTTTATGCCAGGATAAAATCAGTGCCACCTGTTGAGGTTAGCATAGGGCTAACATGTGCCATGTTATCTGATGGCACCAGCTACAATTTAGCTTTCTGTCAGCTACACAATTTAGCTTTCTGTCACATGCAAGTAAATCGACTATTTTAATTGGCTGATATGAATTTCGTGCCGAAAAACCTGTTTTAAATTGATATGGTTGCTTAAGTTCGCAAGTATGGACCCATTATACCTTGGCCCCAATGTGAGTTAAAAAAAATGTGGGTTAAATTTTTACAATTTAAACAACAACAAAAATATCCAGTTAATCACACAGAAAACCATACGATTAACTATACTTTTTAATTGTTTGACAGCCCTAGTATTTACTCTAAGAATAACAACTAGGGAATTGAGGTAATTGTACCGCTCAGATTCAGAGAATGGAAATCAATTACTATGGGATAGAAATTACATTTATTTTGTTATCAATCAGGTCAACCTACCCAATTTGCAGCTAGCTTTCTTCCCATGTCCCATGCTTATTGGGGGTAGTGGCTTTCGCTCAGGGGACATAAAGGTGTCCCAGGACACACATTCAGGCCCTCCAAGCTCGCGCACCTTCTGCAGGCAGTTCTCCAGGAAGCCTACGGGGTCCTCAGGGCGATGGTACATCAGTCCAGTCAGCATACTCTATTAGGGAGAGAAAAAAGCCAATTCAACAGGAGATACAGTTCAAGGAATATGACAATAACTTTTTTATTGTTTTTGTGAATTCAAAGGTTCCTGCCATTTACACAACAACAACAGATTGATAAGGTGAGCCAGTAGAAACAGTTCAACAACCAAATAATCCCAATGAAAAATGTATCCCTGTAGATTTGTATCTGTCTAAAACCCATCTAGACATGTAAAACACTAAAACAATTCATTCTGAAGACATAATGAAGCTGGAAAGAAATGATAATTGCAAATTGATTCAATATGCTTGCCCTATTCGTTTAAGGCCTCTCAGAGAGATGGACTGGAATAAAAATAAATATATCCCCTTTCCCTCCTCAGAACTTCTCTGTTTGTGATGCAAATTCATTTAGAGCGTTGTGTGACTGGATATTTACATGTCAATCATCAAGGGTAGCATATCTCTGGGATAAACGTGAATAAATTATCGGTGCGAAAAAAACACAGCTGCAGTGTGCTACGTAGTGGAAAGAAACAGAATGTCATGATTCAATTATTCAGAATCTCATTATCAAATCTCATTCATTGGCACAGATCCAGGCTTCGGATTTCAAGGTGATCTGTAGACATACACTACCAGTCAAAAGTTTGGGCACACCTACTCATTCAAGGGTTTTTCTTTATTTGTACTTTTACTATAGAATAATAGTGAAGACATTAAAACTATGAAATAACACAAATGGAATCATGTAGTAACCACAAAACGGTTAAACAAATAGCCACCCTTTGCCTTGATGACAGCTTTGCACACTTGGCAGTCTCTCAACCAGCTTCATGAGATCGTCACCTGGAATTTATTTCCTTCTTAATGCGTTTGAGCCAATCAGTTGTGTTGTGACAGGGTAGGGGGGTTATACAGAAGATAGCCCTGTTTGGTAAGATACCAAGTCCATATTATGTCAAGAACAGCTCAAATAAGCAAAGAGAAACAACAGTCCATCATTACATCATTACTCACAGAAATTGCAGCCCAAATAAATGCTTCACAGAGTTCAAGTCACAGATATATCTCAACATCAACTGTGCAGAGGGGACTGTGTGAATCAGGCCTTCATGGTCGAATTGCTGCAAAGAAACCACTACTAAAGGACACCAATAAGAAGAAGAGACTTGCTTGAGCCAAGAAACACGAGCAATGGACATTAGACCGGTGGAAATTTGTCCTTTGGTCTGGTCTCCAAATTTGAGATTTTTGGTTCCAACCGCCGTGGCTTTATGAGACGCGGTGTGGGTGAACGGATGATCTCCGCATGTGTAGTTCCCACTGTAAAGCATGGAGGAGGAGGTGTTATGGTGTGGGGGTGCTTTGCTGTTGACACTGTCTGTGATTTATTTAGAATTCAAGGCACACTTAGCCAGCATGGCTACCACAGCATTCTGCAGTGATACGCCATCCCATCTGGTTTGGGCTTAGTGGGACTAACAATGACCCAACACACCTCCAGGCTGTGTAAGGGCTATTTTACCAAGACGGAGAGTGATGGAGTCACTGCATCAGATGACCTGGCCTCCAGAATTGAGATGGTTTGGGATGAGTCGGACGGCAGAGTGAAGGAAAAGCAGCCAACAAGTGCTCAGCATATGTGGGAACTCCTTCAAGACTGTTGGAAAAGCATTCCAGGTGAAGCCGGTTGAGAGAATACCAAAAGTGTGCAAAGCTGTCATCAAGGCAAAGGGTGGCTATTTGAAGAATCTCAAATATAACATATATTTTTATTTGTTTAACACGTTTTTGGTTACTACATGATTCCATATGTGTTATTTCATAGTTACAATGTAGAAAATAGTAATAATAAAGAAAAACCCTGGAATGAGTAGGTGTGTCCAAACCTTTGACTGGTACTGTATGTTGCAGATATTTCCTTTTTGCCGCCATGGAGAACTGATGGACAGCTTTATTATATTCCTTTAAAAGTACTGTTTCTAGATAGTGGTGTAAATTCAGCATATGTTTAAAACAAAAATTGAGGAATACAGTAGGTTAGAATGTACACAGACAAACACTGTTACTAATCACTGCTCGTTCAGCCTACTGCTGGTTTTATTTGCTCTGTGTTTGCCATTGTGATGTTTCTCTCTCTCCCTTTCTCTTCTCTCTCTCTCTCAAGGTCTCCATTACCTGCTATGAATGTGTATGATGCATCAGATGCAGTAACAGGACTCTAGTTGTCTTGGTGACAGTCAGTCTAGCATGTACATGCTAAAACGTCCGTGCTCTCAAATCAAATGTATCAATCTTAAACAAAAGAGCTGATTAGGCAAACCATGTTGAATGACTTTTTGTGGTTAGAACATGAATGAGCAATTTACAATTTGCTTAAAATTCTACTATGAATCAGGTCTATCGTGAAGCTTGATATGGGTAGAGATGTTTCATTTGATGTTTATTCAAGAACGTAATGTGCACAATGTACTCTCCCCTCAACCAGTCTCTCTCTCCCCCCTCTCTCTCTCACACTCTCAATCAATCTATCTATCTATCTATCCATCTTTGGATTATTAGCTATACCTAACAGCCTGAGACACAAATGACTTGTATATTTGTTTTAACAGCTATCAGCACTTCTTATTGTTATATTAATCACAATTCTTCCAAGTTTATGATGACGTGGTATCTCTTATTTGTAATGAACTTTTAGTTTACCAGAAGTGTACCAGAGTATTTAGAATATGCTACTAGAACATGTTTTATTCACAGAGCAGAACACAAAGACAGACCCCCTGATTATTATCAATATTTTGATAGCTTTTCAGACTCACTAATTCATTGGTCAAATATAAATACATTCACAAGGATTTTTGCATGACCTGTAATGAACCGAAATGCCTTATCTCTATCAAAACCAGCAAGTCTACCATACCTCACATAGTTGTTGGATCTGATGTTTCGAAAGGTATTCTTTGGCGTCATTGGTGTTCATTCTTTATATTCCTGTCCAGACTGGAGCCTGTATTATCCTGTCCTCTCCTCGCAGGCTTGCACGCTGTCCACTGGATGCCGCGCCGGCTCCAGGGCACTGTAGCAATGATTGACAGATGTAACAAAAGTGTCGGTAAGAATGTATTTTGTAAATATATGTTTTTGTATATTCTAAATCACACAAACAAATCAAATGTCAAGTAAGTACACATGAAAAAACAGGCAACAATTATGTTAGGGAATAGGTTAGGTAGTTTAGACAGCACACTACAACTCACTCCCACTTCCATACTCCATTCCCCCAGGGGGCAGTAGCAACATTGTCCAAGTGCTGAGCCTGGTTGATAAGCACATCAGGTGCTGCCAATTAAGGTGATTGTCAGTCAGTGTCCTAGCTTGCAAGCTGTGAGGCTGCTGGTTGGTTTGGTGGTCAAGAGGCCTTTTGTTTGATTTTGAATCTTTAGTTTTAGGCATGCCTGTTTGTAGGTGTCCTTTTTGTATATATTTATTTCCGTCACCATCTGAACATAACAATCTGGTTGGGTTCGCCATCACAAAGGAGTCAAGACAGAGCTGGCCCTGGACCTAAGGCAATGTTGCTGTCTCCCTGGGCACACGTGTGTCCAACATCGTGGTCCTCTGTAGCTCAGCTGGTAGAGCACGGCGCTTGTAACGCCAAGGTAGTGGGTTCGATCCCCGGGACCACCCATACACAAAGATGTATGCACGCATGACTGTAAGTCGCTTTGGATAAAAGCGTCTGCTAAATGGCATATATATATATATATATATATATATATGGTCCTCAAATACTGATTTCTCACATAAATGCACACATTCATTCAGGTTACAGACCATGTAACTAGGCATAGGACCCCTAGACAAAGTGAGTGCAACAATATCCGTAGGCTAGTTATTGGTTTCGTAGCAACTATGTGAGTAGCGGAGACCAGGGATGTGTAACACTCAATAGCTATACAAGCTAGAGTGGTGTAACTTGCTCTGCACACCTCTATTCAAGTTTCTCACCTCACAAGAAGGACAGTTCAATAAGACCAAGTGTAATTCTATTCTCTGTTGATAAGTGGAATAACCAAACTTTTGATCATCAGTCTTATTCAGATAGTGCTTATTCAGAACTACTGTGCTTATTCAGAACTAGTGCTTATTATTGCATTTATTTTATAGAATGAATTGATAGATCTACAATGTAAAGGTAGACCTAAACTACATACGCCTTTGTTTAAATTGAGTTTCCAAAAAATATCTTGATTAGCAATCCATAACCATCCACAGATGCATTACATTTGTTAATATAACATACATAAACTCTGTTGTAACACTCCCGTGAATAAACAGTCAGATAATTATGTCGGAAAAAAACATTGTCCGAAAAACAAAATAACTTTAAACAAAAGTCTGATATTGCCAATACGTTGCAGTGCTATGAGGAAATCATATTAGGTGATATCAGATGTTCATAACATATTTAAAAGTCTCCTTACAGTATTGATCATTAGCCAGAATTCGACTATACGTTCATAAAATTGTATTTCTAGTCAGAACACGGCTATACCACGATCAGGACAGCTCGGAGCCGGCATGAGATATGGAATGGAAAACGTACCTCAAACCAGGGATGGGAGATGGCAGTGTACTCCGAATTATCCCATTATCCCAACTGACAAATCAAGAACATTGAAATACTGCTAGTTGTTAATGACTGCTAGTTGTCATCAGCATGCAAGGCTAGCTAATGCTATAGCAGCCGATTAGATTCCATGAAAATGTGATGCCTAGTGTTTGGATGAGTGGCTACCGGAAGTGTTGTCAAATCCACCGGCTCTGCGCTATCCTGATCATGGCATTGACGCTTTCCGACTAGAGAGAGAATGTAATGAACGTACTGTATTGTCAGATTCTGGCTATATTGTTCACAAGCTCAGTCATGAATAGGTCGAGCTGTGTCTGTAAATTGATTGTATATATAAGGTCCCACAGTTGACATTGCATTTCAGAGCAAAAAAAC